GTTGGAGGTCGTGCCGCATGTCGTTGAACTCAGCTCGTCGAGATCTTTCTATTGACACCGGCGGTGTCAAAAATGGAGGTCGGAATCTTAACTTGAGTATTTGGCCATTGATGGTTTGTGTGAGAGAAAACGTGAGAGGAGAGAATGAGCGAGAATAAGAGAAAGAAAGTGTAAGAACCCTAAAAATTTCACTATATAAAGTATCTGATTAAGGCAAGATTACGTGCCTGATCTTATCCTCAATTATTTCCTCTAAACAGATTAAATTTATACTGATTAGAGGTAATTAGTTTAGCTTACGTAAGTTAATCTACTACTTACAGTCCAATATCAATTTCTGAATAATTCAATATTGTTTTATATTCTTACTCGCGTAATATTTCAAACTGTTTCAAGTCTTGAAATTAATTTAGACTGAACAAATTCTAAATTTTAATTTTCTGTATTCTATCCCAAGAATGACGTTTCTGACAGTGTCAACTCCCGAGCTCATATTGTACCCATCTACTATAGGTATTTATCTTGCGACTTTAACCTAACTGTCTAGCAATTAAGGATTTTTTTCTTCTTTTAAAATGCCAGTGCGTTTTTTTTTTATACGCCGCTAACATCGTGCCGTGCTTAGAGATTATTGAAATTAAGATTCTCAAACTATACTTGTACTGAAAATTATTCCGCCTTAAAATACGGCGAGAATTTATCGATCGAATTTACTTGATCGAAACATGAACTTAACATGAAATTTGCTATAGAATTTAGGAATACATATATTAATTCCATAAATCCTCCATTCACAATATAACATAATATTTTCTAAGAAAATCCTTGGCTTAAAAATACATGAATTGTATTATTTAAGGTATGAAATTTTCTCAGTCATTACAGATTGTTTGTCAAACTAGTGAATTGTCCCCAGTCTTGTAAACCTTAAGATGAGTAAGATAAATATTAATTGTAAGTAATTTCATCAGTAGGAATAAATGCATTGGAAGAATGCTTACTCACACATGTGTACACACACAGAAATTTATTATCTACATATTATTCTGTCTTGTTCTTGAAGTAGAAATTAATAAACATGGAGTAAGCCAAATATAATCAATTCCCGCTCACTTCGCCGGTTCGAGTTTTGCTACAGTAAAAAGCTCTCAGAAACAGTCACATCTAACTTTTTTACTTTAGTAAAAAACTCTCACATAACATCACATCTTAACTCGAATTAAAAACTCGAATCAACGAACTAAACATGCCATAATTGATCAATTCCAGGGTTTAATACTGGAAGACGAATCAGTAAAACATTAAAAAAATATATATGAACATTCAAAGATACACAAAACATATATATGTCGACATTCATATTCATAAATTAAATAGACGTGAATAATTGAAAAGCACATTTTAAAGTGATTCTTGAGTATATAAGATAATTAGTTTCGTTTTTTGTTCACCATCTATTCAAACGAGGCCAAAAATTCAATTCAAAGAAAATGAGAAGAAAAATATATTCGAAAATAATATTCTGTATATCGAACAAAATAAAATTTATAAAAAACCCCAATAAGAATTTCCATTATTAATGCCATCATGTTAAAAATTATTAGTTATAGTTAATCTACGAACACAAAAATTGAAGATAAACTATAATGTTCCGTCGAGTGCTACTTATTAGTACATATAAATCATAGGTTGTGTTTCCCAAATTTTAACATGTGAAAGTAACTCTCCTAATTCTAAATCCACGCATATATATTTCTAATTTATGAAAACGCAAATTAGAATAATTAACATAGACAAACACAAATGAATTAAAGTGAAAATCACATTAACAAGCACTTAAAATATTCAAAGCATAGCAACGTTAAAACTACATTAAGCCTCTAGCTCTAAGAGTTTAGCTAGAACAAGACATTAAGAATCCCAAATCAAAATGCATAAACAAATTAAAAACCAAATCCATGATCAATCACAAATCTCAAAGAATAACACAGACTCAAAGCTAAAATAGAGGAAGAGAGAGAGAATGCAGAACTAGACGTGAATCAAGCTCTGCAATCTTTAATCTTCCTTTAGATTTTTAAGTAAGCTCTCGAATCCTTGTATTCTCCTATTTAGAGTTCTGAGTTTTTAGTTTTCTTACTCTAAGGCAAGAAATCTACTACAGTGGGTGTCTGATTTTGAAGAGGATTTTCACCTTTTATATGGCTGAATTTTTCTTTAGTGTCTCATGAAAATGATAACTCTATCTCTTATCTAAAGCCACCAAAATCACCTCATTTACACTTCAGATGAAAGAGTTATATCCTAAATACTAAAATATGTTCTAAAATTAATTTTTCATTCTTTTTATTTTATCTTAACTTTAACCTATAAAAACAAAATAAAAACACAATAAATTAACAAAAATACTTATAAACTTTTAAATACTCAAACTCAAAAGTACGTGATTTGTGAGTAAAATACTCATTAGTTAGATCAAATTTTTTAATCCAAATTTAATATTTTGTGGATCGGAAAAGACAAAATAACAAGTACTACAATGGTGTAGCAATGATTAACTTTGGCATACAACCGAAAAAAAAAAAAAAAACCCAACATTTTTTAAGCCTTCATCTATTGTTTTTTTTAAATTCTTATGTCATTATTAAACGTAACGATGGTAGGCAGCCACGTGAGGATGAACACGTCAATCAACCTTCAACAAGTTTTTTATTTATTTTATCTTTTGCTAAATGGTCAACGTTCAATAATGGAGGCCATATATATATATATATATATATTATTCTCATCTTGTCAGGAAAATTTACACAAACCCGTGGAAAAGATGAGAAGTAAATGGAGTCATTTTCCGTAGCGATGATGAAAACATGAGGACATCCTTCTTTTTATTTTTTTTAAAATTAAAATTTTAAATTTATTATTTTTTCCACTTTTTAATTATTAAAATGGTTGGCTCCAAACTTAAGAATACGATTTTGCAAGTTATTACTACGAGTCTACGACTACGACCTCTTCCTTGCTCAACGTGCCACACAAACAGCTCCTAAGAGATTCTAGACTTTCTATAAGAGTAAAAACAAACCAACAAAATTCAAGCTTTCATTTTTTCTGGATTGTACTTTGAGAAAATAAATAAAATTAAAAAAAATGGAGGGTGAGGCTGAGATTGATCGGCTTCCAATAGACCTGTTGGCTCATATCTTTGCGATGATCACTTCCTTCACTGATTTGGCCCAGTACGTTTCTTCTTCTTCATCATCATCATATTAATTTTTTTTGGGGTTTTATTATTTTTTTCCTTGCATTTTTTTTATTTGGTTGTTGTTTTGTCAAACTATTGTGAGAAAGTTGAGTTTTTTTTTTATTTTTTTTTTTATGGATTTTTGATGTGGGTATTATTGAAATTATTGTCAGGGCAAGCAGTGTTTGTCGGAAATGGAAGAAAGGGGTGAAGCAGTCTTTGGGTCGAAGAGAGAATTTGAGCTTTGCCGGTTGGAAGATGGATGATGACTCCACAGCTCGTCTTGTTCGCCATGCTTATAGCCTCAAAGAGCTTGACATGTAAATTTTTTTCTTCTTTTTTTTTTTATTACTTTTTTCTCTGACTCTGGCTTAAAGTTCTTTCTTTTATTTATGTTATCTCTGCTTCTGTTATTTATATTTCACTTTTTTTTTCTTTCTCTCAAATTAGCCTGGCAAAGTTGTGTTTTTCAGAATTTAACCTTTGTATTTTCTGTTTATATTTTTCTAAGTCCTAGCTAATTAAAATGTTAATTTCCATTGTGATGAGTAATGGATGTTCAGATGCAAGAGAAAAATTGGGCACCAATTCAGTGACACAGGTTCTTTTGCAAATAAATTATATTGTCATAGGCGTTGTTAAAATGCATATGTATCAGGAAATTGCGGAAATTTAGAGTGAATATTTGTGCTTGTACATAGGGCATGTTGCAGAATTGGAAATTTTGCACCAGATAATTGGTTCTTATGATCATACATGTTCTTGAAATCAGAAAGTCAAAGTGTTTCTTTTGTCGTTTTTTTTTTTTTTTTTTTTTTTTTTTTTTTTTTTTTTGTGGTGGGGGGGTGGGGGGTAAATGAACAAAAGGATGATTGCCACGTAAAGCCAAATGAGAGTCGTGGGATAGGGAACATTAGGCATTATCTCGTTACACATTGCTTGATTGTTTGTCTTAAAAAAAAAAAAAATCAAGGCCATTGCTTGCCTATATTGTAGCTTCTTAGCATTCCCAGAAACTGATTTTGTTTGGGTACTCTGATGCATTGAACCTCTCATATTGGTAATCATCCTAGTTTATATATATATATTATAGGTGTGTGAACGAATTTTTAATGGTTACGTTTCCATTGTGGTTACCTATCAAATATATAAATTTAATGACGTAGCGTGATAAAAATTCAGTCTCATTAAATGTTATAGATTTTTTTAGTCAACTATCTAATTTATTACAATTGTCATATCAATATCTTACGGCTAAAACAGTGATATCCATTGGTGAGTAAATTTTAGAGTAACCATTAAAACTATAACCAGATATTTTAACCGGTTATCTAATCACTGATTGTCTTATGGAATTTCCAGTTCAAGGAGCCGTTGGGGGTGCCAAATCTCTGACAATGGACTTTACCAGATATCTTTGGCAAAGTGTGTCAGCAATTTAACCTCCATTTCCCTTTGGGGTATGACTGGGATCACAGATAAAGGTGTTCTTCAACTGGTGCGTGTTAAGTTTTAATAGAACAAGAGAAAGACGTTTTACCGGTGCCTTTTATGCTATTGTTTGATTCATTATTCATTCCACGTAGAAAGCTTAAAGATATCATAAAATGTGAGAGATGTAATGGTCCAGCTTTCTTTTCAGATTTAGATCTTACTTTTTTAATAAAAAAAAAAAAAAGAAGCATATGCCCAACTTTTAAGTCAATTTTCTGTTGTGCTGTGAATTTATTTCACCAAGAGGAAACTTAAACTATGGACTTAATATCAAAATTTTAGTAAAGTTTCTGTTTGCAACTCTGTTTTGTTTGTGTTAATGATACTCTGTCTAAAAAAAATCGCTCTCTACTTTTCTGATTTTGTTTTTTGAACAGATATCAAGAGCAAAGTCCTTGCGGCACCTGAACATTGGTGGTACATTTATCACTGATGAATCTCTGTATGCCATTGCAGATGGCTGTCCACAATTAAAGGTGAATTGGGGATATTGCAACTTGGGATTTTCCTTTTTTGGGTGAAACATTTTCTTTTTTTAATTTGAATTTTCTATCAATTCTTATACATGGCTTCATCTTATGCTCTTTTTTTTTTTTTTGGGTGTTGATGTTTTCTAGAGTATTGTTCTTTGGAGCTGCCGCCATGTAAGTGAAAATGGCTTGCTTGTTCTTGTAAATAAATGTCGGAAGCTTAAGATGATCAATGTATGGGGGACAAGAGTTCCTGTGGACTGCTTCATTGTTTTGCTTACCATTAGACCAGCTCTTCAGATAAAGACCAGAAGTCTCCTCTTAACTGTTGGAAATGCTTCCGTCCAGGCTCTTCTATAAGTTATCCATTCTTGTCATTGGTTCTTTAATTGTTTTATATTTACACATGGGTCCTTCTGTTTTATATACAAATGGGCTCGTCTATCCTTGTATTTCAACCAATAATGTAAACGTAAATTATGAGGGCTCATATTGAAGCTCTGGCTCTGTATATACAGTTCACATCCATTTGTATTCTTTTGTGAAGCTATGAATGAAGATACCATTAAAGTAAAACTAAAAGAGAGGAGAAATGCTACTTTTACTATTTTTGTCACTCTCTGTATTTATTGTTTAACACGTGAATTTTACTATTTCATTTTCTGTTTAAATAATAATATATCATGTTAGTAGAATTTACGTGTCAAACAGTGAATGTAAATAGTAATAAAAAAAGTGAAGTGATGTATTTCTCCTAAAAGATAGAGAACTTGTTAACTTGATTTTTAAAAGGTTTGTAGGGAAACTAAATTATGTCTATGATGACCACTGGTCATTTGGTGAGGTGGTAAAATTGATTGTTTTCTTCAACAATTTAAAATTCAAATCAATACCAGAATATATGGCAATTCACTTTGCGAGAGATTCGTATGTCACACGGGATGTCTTGTCTCCTGAGTATACCACTTGTAATTTATGTTCTTTAGCGAAACAAAAAAGGGTAAATAGTGATACTTGTAATTTGGCCAATCAACTTTGAGTTAAGGTTGAACAGTATGGTTTAACAAACTTGGAAAATCAGAGAACCATTTGTTCATATGTCAATAATCGGACCACCAAAAGGGAAAATTCCTTCTATTTCTCATTTTTTCCGGAACACAATCCTTAAATAAATCATTTGTTCAACTCTTCATAACATCCATACTTTAAAAGCACAGACAACATAACATTGGTTACACGTGGCAAAGGAAACCAAAAAGTTTAGTACAAATATGAGGAAAAACTAATATCTATAAGCGCGAGTACTTCTACACATTGTAATGTCGTACATTCTCTTTACTGCTACAGGTTAACCAATATGAACTGAAAGAAGACCTGAAAATAGAAAACGTTAAAATGATGGCATAAAAAGATGTTACAATATTAATAGCAAGTTCTTATACCCAAGCAATATAAAAAATAGATGAAATGTCAAAATCCTCTCAACAGTTGAAAACCTTGTAACATAATGAAACAAAATGCATACCTCAAAAGAACTAAATGCACGCCGAGTCTTTCTTGGGGACTTGTCTACTTCATACCTGATATGCTTATGCATCTTCTTACTTTCTGTCTCAAATAAAATCTCAGAAGTCTATCCTCTATAATCGAATTTATGAACACTAGCAACCATTCGTTGACCTTCCACCGAACAAGGCGGAGTAGAATAGTTGTAGACTCTTTTAAGTTTTATGTATGATACAATATAAGCGTAGTTGTAGACTCTTTTAAGTTTTATGTATGATACAATATAAGCGAACATCTCAGGAAGTAACTCGCTAACAGACAATGGTAGTAATTGTTGGTTGTAGTCATAGCCAAAATGCCAGTAATGGAAGTGAGAACATGAAGAAGACCAAGTGATTGGGAGAATGGACAGTCGAAGCGGATCTTGCAAACTGAATGGATCCAGTAAAGCTTCCTGCTGTGTTGGTCACTGGACTTCTAGTGGGTACAGCAATATTCTTGCAGGACCCAAAAGGTGCCCCAGGCTGCAGAAAGAAAACCTTTTTTTACCATGTTTTCAATGTGAAATGGTATGTCATAAAGGACCGAAAACAGATACTAGTGGAAGTACTTGTTCAATGAAATGTAGCTTAAACATGTGAATTGCAGGACGTCATGGAAGAGTAAATGGGTTGTCACACGAAATTAAAGGCATGTTTACCACAGGGAAAGGTAATGAATTTGGAAAGGAAAGTAGGGAATAAGAATGAGTCATTTATTTTCTTTCTAGTACTTCATTAGAAAGAAAATTGGGAAATAATCTTATTCCATTTCTCTTGCTTACAGCTTACAAATAGGAATAAGAATCTTATCAATGTAATAACTACGTTTCACAATTGAATATATATTGGCTTATACAACATGTGAACTTATCAAGGAAATATAAAATTTAGCATTCATTCCCTTTAACCGGAAATTAATACCAAGGGTTGCAAGGATTAGAATTCTCTTTACTCATTCACTATATTATGTGAGGCCCGCCAATTTTGTAAGTAAACACGTGATTAACTCAGAAAAAACTACACCATTTCGCTTTCCCTTTCATGTGAAGTAAACACAACCTAAATTTGAAAAGAAAATTTCTCAAGCACGTTTAGATTATATGCTAGGAAATCATTTCATTGTAACTTTACTCGTTGCTTTTTGAAGCCAGAGGAAGAAAAACGAGAACAAGCAAGCTTCGCTAAAATAAGTAGTAAGATTTAATTCTTTCTGCCTTAAGTTTTATTGATTTGCCTCAGTTTCTCACCTTATCCCTTTTATAACTCAAAAGGCATAATGGAAAGAAAAAACTGCTAACGGTTATTATTAGAATCCCACATTGGCAAGAGATATTGGCATGATCCACTTAATAAGGTGAGGACAATCCTCTCCTAATAAGCCGGTTTTGTTAGGTTGAGTTAGGCCCAATATCATTTGATTTCTGTAAAATGGTATCAGAGCAGGCCCAGTTTTGCAATATTTGGGCCCCCAATATCGACTTATTCGCAGCGGTTTGGCATGGTCCACGCTGTGCGTGAGGGGGCGTATTAGAATCCCACATTGGCTGGAGATATTGGCATGATCTACTTAATAAGGTGAGGGCAATCATTCCCTAATAAGCCGGTTTTGTTAGGTTGAGTTAGGCCCAATATTCTTTGATTTCCATAAAAGTTATGGAATTAAGATGGGCGAGGATAAAATATGGTTGCACACTAGACGTAATTGACAGAGTGGAAAAAGAAACGTATAAATGTGTCTGGAAATTTAAGAACTTTTGGAAAATCTTAATCAGGTTAGAAGAATTAGGTTTTCGATATATCATTCAACTTGAACGAATTTTTGACCATGACTTGTAGGCCACGAATTTGTGAATTGAAAACAAGCTTGATCAAATAGCATAAAACTTCATAAAAGACTAAATTGAAGTAGACCAAGTTAAATGGAAAAACCTGGCAGGCAGCGACGGTACTACACCCACACAATGTTTGGCCATTCATTCTGTCTACAGCATCAAATACACCTCCTCCACCACTCCTCTGCATCATTAAAATATTACCATTCAGCCAAGAATGCTCAGACAAAAAATGGGAATGGATTTTCTCCCTAAGTTGAAGTATTAATACCATGTAAAAGTTAACTGCCAAAAAGTTTGGCATCACATTGCCTGCTGCTTTATAACAGGTTCCAACCATCGCAGCAAGTGGAGCTGAATTCTCTTTGCAAGCCTCAGCTTGAACTGGATATGTAGGGAAGTAATTCTGAAAGAAAAGAGATACGCTTTTCGAGTTCAACGGCTTTGATTGTTTTCTATTTGGGCATGAGCCTGGCACCACCCCAGGGTCTCCAGCTGAAATTCAGCACAAAACGAGGTCATCAATTGTACATTCAAACAGAGTTCAAAATCATAGAGACACAAGTCTTCTGATATTGCATTCATATATAACCTACCCTCATTTTCCACCATATACTTCCACTGGTATGCTATTCCTTCCTTTGCTTCCTTTGAAGAGTCAGAAGTGAAAACGAGGAGCCGGTAATTCGCTTGCACCATCTCAGTCACAGTGGGCCAATCATCGCCCTTTTTCGGCATCTTGGAAACAGGAAACCAGTACTTATCTAACCCGGCATTAGTAAACAGATTTGTCAACCCCTTTGTAGTATGCACATAATCCTCAATGATAATGGTCACAATCTCATTTGGGTTTGTACTTAAGAATGCCTCCACTTCCTTCAGTGTGTTAATTGCAGGTTGCTGACAACAACACAATACTTATAAGAAACTGCTTTTAAAAAAAAAAAAATTCATTTACTGAATTAATCAGGTGAAAGGTGAATTACAAAAGCTGTGAAGTTGTAACATTGCCCCTTAAATGAATGGCAGAGCCAGATATCGTTCTCGAAGTCGTACATGTCCAACATTAGTCCCCTCACGCCATTCTAGAAACAATATCAAAATACAAACAAATAAGATTTACAAAAAATTATAATAATCATTAAAGAATTATTAAATAGACATGGATTATAAAACACAAAATTACCTTCTACTGTAATTGGATTCCAAGATACAAAATAAAAGAAAGGAATGGCATTTTTACACACACACACACACATATATATATATATATATGTATGTATTATACTTTATGTGACACTTACATTTAACTGGTTTGTCACAGTGTCTTCTTGATTATAAAATGTTAACCTTTGAACGCCATTCAATGGCGGTGCATCCACGATGCTAAACGAATTATGAGTCACCAGCCATGTGTACTTGTTGAATGGCAATCCATTTATCTAAAAATCTCAAACAAATTACACAGGAAAAAAAAAGAAGTTATTTAACCAAATTCAGCTAAAAAGAACTGATACCCACAAACAAATAGACCTAAATTTAAGCAAAAAACAAAGAATGTCTCACAATCGAAGTGGGCAAAATTTGTTGTCCTCTGGTACATATAGGCTGATTCGAGCCGGAAGCAGGGCAGTTCCCACAGTACAAACCCGGACCACAGTCGGTGGCCGCGCTACAAGCTTCGAGAACCTGCGAAATTGTCGATGAATTTCAGTTCAGATTAACAGAAAAAGACTTGATTATGATAGATCTTGAATTGTCAAGAGAGAGTGAGAGAGGAGAGAGAGGAACCTGGCAATTGCCATTGGAGCAAGCAGAGGAGCTTGTGATGAGAAGTGAGAAGAGGAAGAGGAAGAGAACGAGAGGAGGGGATTTGCGTAAGCTACGGTGGTCCGCGAAACACGCCAACATAGCAGCTCCGTTGTGCAGAGCTCGAGAAGCCACTACTGCTTTTGTGTGTGTTTTAGAGAGAGAAACACTGCTTCCTTTCTCTCTCTCTCTCTCTCTCTGGTACAAAGCAAAAGAGAATTTTTACTGCAGAGAGAAGATGACAATTTTTTTTTTTTTTGGTTTTTGAACGCGGGCTTTTTATTTCTCTAATAATATTTTTTTTGTATGGAACCCTTCTTAATTTTTTGCAATTGGTAATTTGATCTCTAAATTTTTTCCTTTTTACAATCGGCTCCTTAACGTTTCAAATCATTTCCAACTGAGATCTAATTAAAAACGTTCGATAAATGTTATACGGATTTAATCACGTGACAAGCGCGTGACTTTTCTTAGGGGTATTAGATGGTCATTTCAGAAGAAACAAATCCTTTTTCAAAAAACAAAACAAAACAAAAAAACCTCAAAAATTCGGTTCATCTCTGTGTCTGTTTCTCTCACTCTCTTCCCACAATAAATTAAAGAAAAAAAAGACCACCTGAATTTTAATAAAAATGAACCTAAATCCAATTCTAAATATTCTTCTTCTCTCTCCCACTAATTTAATTCAAATCCACTAATTTAACCAAAATCCACTTTCTTTCCTCCATCGTCTTCCCTCTCTCTCCTCAAACTCCCTTTTTTCTCTCCAACAACAACGGCAATGAAACCGCAATGGCCATGAACAGCGTCAAGAAGAAGAGCAACTTTTCTTCGGCGACTTTCAGAGGGCTGGGATGCGGTGCGGGATCCTCACAGCAAGTCTCTAAGCCGGCTTTGATCCGGACGTTGGCGGATTGGGAAGGGAAGAAGGTGAGGAAGAAGAAACAGACTCAGGAGTTTGGAAGAGGCGTCGGCGGTTTGGATTTTCAGAACAAAAGTTTCTGGGTTTTCTTCTTCATTCACTCAAATTTGAAGTTGAAATTTTTTAAAGGTTATCCTTAAAGTTTCTGGATATTTTCCGTGATTGATTTTTCTTTTCACTATGATTTTATCTGGGTTTGTTTATCTAGATTTGATGAGGATATGACTTTGGTGATCTAAGGGGCTGGGTTCTTTCTTTTTCTTTTCGTTCCTTTTTTTTTTCCTTTTTCTTCCTCAATCTGGATGAATCGGATCACAAAAACATTTTGGGTGAATCTGGATCAATATTTCTTAAACATTTTTCGCACATGGGTCACCATCATTAACAGATAAGTTGGAACGAAAAGATTGTGGGATTTCGATGAATCGGATCACAAAGTAATTTTTTATATGATTTTATCTGCTTTTTTTTTTTGTTTTTTGCTCTGATATCTGGGTTTGTTTATCTGGGTTGTTTCTTCCCTTTTTTTTCTTCCTCAATGTGAGAAAATGACGCCCGCTACCCTCATTAGTGGGTCACGTGAGGCGCACATGGAATATTTTGTCTGAAAAATTAACACCGTTTTTAATTGGACCTTAATTATAAAGGATCCGAAACGTTAAGGAGCTGATTGTTAAAAAAAAGTTTAAAGATCAGATGGTCAATCACAAAAAATTAAAGGGGTCCTATGCAAAATCCTTTTTTAGGGAAAAAGGAAAGCGGTCACTGATAAAGAAACAACGGCCTTTAAATGTTCTCTTATTTTAAGGTACCAAACCAACTTTTTTCCTCGTCGAGGTTCCAACTTTTACGATGTCGTTTCTGCATGCAAAGACTAATAAGTAGAACAATAATGATAAGTTGATGATCTTTGGTTCTTACCAAAGTTTGATCTTTTGACGATTCGGTTCAAATTTTCGAAGACTTGTAGCGCACAATTCTCATCCTCGTGTACATCGAATTGTGTTAAATGTTTAGTTCATAATCGTTCAGAGATTTATGCGATAGATTTTAAAAAAAGTAAACCAGCATGTTTCTACTCTTAACTGTTTTATTTTGATGAAAACCATTTGTTATGCGTATATTTTCAGTTTGATGTGATTTTAAGCACATTTAACCGTAAAAAACAAACGACTTATAGAAAGCTCTATCATAAAACGACCTAAACCGACCCTAATCATTTTGATATGATTTTTAACTCTGTTTTTTGGGTACTCAATCACAACTCTTTAAATTATCTATCTTTTTAATCCTCTTTTTCTTTTTTGTGTATTTATTCCTCTCGTAATAAAAGGTTATAGGTTTTGCCCCACTATTTGAGTCACCTCTAAGTGCATGTCACGTGGGTGGGGTAGGTTTGCTTCTGCTTAGCGGCTTCCACTGCAGGAACACTCTGATAGCCTGATGACCGCCCCATCACAATTAAACGCAATTGTTGGCAGTTACAACTAAAAATGAATTTGAGGTTGGTTTTTGTACCACAAGCAAGAATTTCTATATGTGCATTCCTCATTGGGTGTTAATTGTTATCTTTATCCTTCTCTCCTTTCTTTTTATTGTTTTTAGTTTTCTTTTGTTCCAGTTATTAAGACGTGGCTCCAGATATTAATTGCTGATTTGGACACAACATTGCGTTCTTTGAGATATGCTTTCACATATTAATTGTTGGTCTGCATAAAACAAACATATCATCTTCGCCTCCGGCGTTGACGACGTCCCAACGCCGAAGGCGCGGCAGAGGAGATTTGTCTCCTCTTTTTTTTTTTTCCTTCTTATTTTTAAATTTTTAATTTTTTAGGCTTTGATTAATTTTATATAGTGCAATCAGGGACATTTTTGTATTTGTGGGGGTAACAAATCATGAGCACTCAATTGTTATCCAACCGCTTAAGATTTTCGTTATAGGTATCGGAAGGAGGCATTCATTATTCTAGCATTCTCCTAGAATGAAAATTATATATATACACACATATATATTTAGGAATTGTCTTATCAGTCAGACACCTGTGATTTTTTCATATGCTTGTATAACACTATTTTATAAAAATGTGTAACGCTATTCAATTTGCTTTAGTATAACATTCAACAAATATAACTCAACACGTTTAACATTGAGCGTTACACAAATATATGAAAAAAATTATAGGTACAAACGAATAATGTTATACAGGCATACAAAAAAAAAAAGTTTGCTTTAATGTAACATTTAATAAATATAGCTCAACACATTTAACATTGAGTGTTACACAAACATATGAAAAAAATTATAGGTACAAACGAATAATATTACACGGGCATAAATTTTTTTTTGCTTTAATGTAACATTTAACAAATATAGTTTAACACATTTAACATTGAGTGTTACACAAACATATGAAAAAAAAAATTATAGGTACAAATAATGTTATACGGGCATACAAAAAACATTACAAATGCCTTATTGGTCCAAGTGTCGTATTGAAGACTTTGCTTACTTATATATCTATCTATCCGTCTCATAAAAAGCACTTAGCGTAAGTGACTCCAGGCGTTGTCAAGAATTCAGACGTTTGATTTAGAGTTGGTTGGCCTCTGGCGAGTAATCCGATTATTGAACGAAATATTTATCTTTTTCTCTCAATAGCAAGTATGTTAGGTGAGCCAAAAAGGCGGAAAAGACATTCAAGTGGACCTTGATCATAATTCGGTTAGAAAAAACTTCATTAAGTGGTACTTGTCTGTCTTGAGTATATCAACATGTGAAGTTATATATATTCGATCCACAAATCTTGTACCCTTTTCCGGCTTTTTCCAAATACAAATTGGCTTTGAAGGAAAACATGAATCGTTAAATGAAATTTCAATTCTCTATTGAGAAGCAATGGCCTCTCCCGTGACAAAATGATGAAGAATGTGCCTTCTAAGTCAATGAGAATGATGCTTCTTTCTACCTGTAAAAGAATAACAAAAAATTGTGAATCCAAGATTTAAGTAAATCGTCTGGTTAAGCAAGCTTCTTAGCACGGCCACTCGAAGGGCCGCCATCCTCCTTTTTTGACCCCGGTGCCTCAGGCTTCCGAGCCCAAGCAGGAGCTCTATCTGGCTCGTAACGATAATCATAAAAGAGTTCCTCTCCTGCACTAATTCGTTCCTTGGCAAATATACCAACTCTATGATCACCGGCAACCATAATGACCTGTAAATTGAATGCGGAAAGTAACAAAAATGAACTGCAATGCTCTTAACAACCAGTTGAAATCGTCGGATGGTAAGTGGGAAACTATGCAAAGACCATAAACAACGTACCTTTGCATAGCAATTTGGGTCTGGAGCATGGTTGGCAAACTTCAATTTATCACCCTTTCTATAAGCATCAAGAACAAACTGTACGAAAACACGCATTTGATCATAAGTCTCCATGACCGAAAAAAAGGGTGATCTCGTCATGTACATAGTACTTGAGGGTAACATTCACATACCTGATCATTTAAATTGAAAAGAAATGATGAATTTTCACGGTCATATATCTTCCCACGCTTATCCGCTTCTCTATGTGATATCAACTCTCCAGTGTACTCGCCAAGGTACTCATGCTTGCCAACGCTATTCTGGAGAATGGATACAATATTTAGGGTGGAAAATGAAAATCAGGCATGTAAATAACAATTTCAAATTTCGAATATTACCTTCAAGAAAGCTCCCCAGCCAGATACATCAGATCTTCCAAGTAACACCTGTACACCAATGGGACCAAAGCCATCATTCAAAGATTTTGCAGTAGCAAATGCCGGTAGATACGGATTTCTAAGGTAATTGTTAACGATGCATGACCTTGTCCCTCATTAGCAAAGCATGCCTGCCCTAATAATTTTCCACCGTAAAAAGCCTCAATGAATGTGTACCATTGAGTAACACTTTGGATGAGATGAAGGGATCTCAAGTCTTGACTGTTAAACCTATAATGAATGCCATTAAAGGGGCATATTGGAATGATATCCCCATGCCTAGCTTTTCATAATTTTTTTTAATGCATTCCTGAGTTGAACAATTTTTTTTTTTTTTTCAATTGGGTTGAGCGACACTTGTTAGAATAGGCGCATGACATTAAGAACTTCATTCCAATTAAAATAATCAAGACGAAGGAAGGAATTAGTGGCATATACACTTGCTTTTTTGTCTATGTACTACTGACGAAAGAGATAAATGGCAAAAAGCGGTAAAATATGACTACCCTCTGTTGTTGTTTGAGAAGAAGCTTCATATTTCTACATTCGTAATTGTCACCTCTTTGGTTGGGAACCCCAAGAGAACCATCTCCGCAACTGGAAAACACATTTTATGGCTTTAGTAGAAAATAATATAAAAGACCATAAAGTATGAAAAGCAGCGGGCTAAACTTCAAATCTGAAAATTTTTCAGAGGGTTGATTGATTAGAAAAATTAATTGCTAAAACCGTCTCTCTACTGTTTCCCGTCTTCAAAATTTCCATAAGCAAGGGCCACTAGTACGATGTATATTTTATTATATAATGCGCACACACAATTACCCATTGCATATGTGATCCACTAGTATCTGACAACTAAACATGCCACATGAAGTCCTATGCACTTTTAGCCTTTTAGGCAATTATTTAAATGTTAAAAAAGCATCAGCTTAGTAATTTCCCTTCATATCACTTGAACAATTATGTCTTGACAAGGAAATGTAAGTTTGAGAGTCCAGCAACACGTACTGACTAGCCCTTCTTACTAGAATGTGTTCTTCACCAAATACAGAGTAAACCAAATGTTTCCAGTCAATTGTTCACCTAGTAAATTGATAGTTTATTATGAAAAATAAATTTGGCTGCATCATGAAAATTTTGAAAACATGAATTTTGGGACAAACATTGAAAATATCACGAAAAAATCATAATCGCATAAGCTGCTACTCGTTATTGAGCTACATGAAGGATTTCACCAACACATAATCCAGTGAAGCAATGAAACAGAAAAATAAAGAATTAAACAATCACCTGACCCAACAGTTCCTACAAACATCTGGATCACATTCCCTGTCAGCAGCAAAGCAAGGGCATTGACGACTTCGGCATTGACTTTTAGCACAATGACAGCCTCTAAATCGGTTCTTGCAACTCTTAGGACATCTGGACAGATAAATAACTAAGTTGTATTTATTTTGCGCAACAATATTGCTACTTTGAAATTTATAAACATTGTAATTGGCCAAAGGTGTGCCAAATAAAGTTCACGATATTCTAAACGAATTTACTTATTTTTCCTCCAGCATGCCTTCGTAGGATAAGGAGCAATTATGTCATTCATAAGTTCGATAAAAGAGCTTACCCACAGTACTTTTCACAGCAAGTCCCATTAAGAAGACAGCTGCACTGCTTCCCACAAGCTGTTTGGCAATTGCATGGATTATATTGCCTGCATGGCTGATCTTTTCTCTCGGTAATACGTTTTCTGATTGAATGGTAAGCAGCAGACTTCCAAGTATACTTTAAACGACGAACTCTACCCCTCCTCCGTAAAAATCTAGACCTCCTTCTAGCTTCATTATTACCCTACAGATCATGACACCGCACAACAAAGAAACTACATGTTATGGCAGGGAGGGTCCTGTCAGATGGATAGAGATCTATCACATATAGTACCAATCATAGTTCCATTAATTCAACCTTAGAGTAGCCTTCAACAAGCGAGTTTGCAGCATCGCCTGCTTGGCCAGAATTCTTGCTGCCAAAGTGATTCATGTACTGAAAAACCTCCCAACAAGTCTTCATGCCACTCAAAAGGTTTCTTGCAATTAAACAGCTGTAGCAAGAGAACCAAAGAACATAACACGATGAAGATAAGAAAACATATGAAGCAATTACTATAAATTACAAGTATTTACGAACATATGTATCCAAACAAATTGAATGTTTGAAACAAATATAGCACTATAAGTTTACCTATTCTTAACTAACTTTCAAACAGATGCAAATAATTAAGTGAAAGAAGTATTAGGAACCTGATTCTCACAGCTCAATATTCACACAAAAGAACAAGAATAGAAGGCAATCAGAGTAGTTTTATTGATCATCCCCAACACTACCTCATAGAATTTTACAGAGAACGTAAAGAAAGCTTAGGATAGACTGGAGTATTCGAGGACTCCGGAGAACTCCTAACTTTGATAGTATTCGAGAGACCATCAGCTCACCCTAATCTCAGTCTCCTAAAACTCTCAAAATCACAGCCTACCCTAGTGAGCTACTAAGCCCTTTATTTATACTAATTCCTACTAACTCTACCAGCCCACTAACCAAACAAGTTCCCAAGTCATTAACGGATCCTAACATTACCCCCGCCCCAAAGAAACACATTGTGTCCTCAAGGTGTTAAGTAATCGCAGCCGTGTGACTCCACTTCCTTCCAATCTTGATGAGCTTGGATCTTGGAATGTTGAATGGAATGATTCATACAAAACTTGCTTCAAATGTTCTTGTCAACTTTATTTTTTCAACTTCACACTTTTGTTTGGAGCTGAAATTGAGAACCACTTTAAAGGCATCGAAACCATGAAGCTCAGCCTCAAAATCATCCTTGTAGTAATGGAAGACCTTGTTGGTCAGTTCAAACAATTCATGTATAACAAAAACCTTCCTCCCACAAGCGTTATCTTGCTGCAGTTCATGTTCCACCACACCAGAGAAAGCTGCCTTGTTGTTTGTCAGAACATCAACAATGGAGGGTAGCTGCAAGTGTATACTCTCCATTCCTTTGTCAACAGCCCCAGAATTGTTGCAAACAGAATCAAATTCATCTTTTAAAATACAAGAATGGACTCCACTGTTAACTTCTTTCACTGGTGCAGCAAACTCCGACTCTATAGTAACATCCATGGAAAATTTTGATATCATTGACATCTTGTTTCCCATATCTTGAAGCCCCTCATTACTAGCACCAGATTGAAAACCAAATTCATTTTCAATGCCTTGGTCCACCTTGCCATCAAAAATTCTTCATAGTCAAGTCTCCTTGAACATCCATTTGATCTGAAACATCTGTTGTTTAAGCTGGAAGCAACCTACTTGAACTGCCTACCACTTGCTCTTTATCGACTTCCAATTTTGTAATGCCAACTCTCTCTAAAACTGAATTTGAAATCTCTTTCCCAGGTTTGGCAAGTACCTTGAATTGTCGTCTATAGTCAGCCATAATATCCCCCTGACGTTTCACCAAGAAACTCTCATGTAAGGTCTCATCAGATGACAATCTAAAATGCTTAAGCAGATGAGTCTTCAATTCATTCCAATTGTAGAATGGGCAACGAGCATCCTGCCATCTATACCAAGCCAAAGCATCACCTTTCATCAGTTAACGGAGGGAGAAATGAGCTTTAGGCGTCGACGGCTACCTGATGTGGCAGGTTTTGGGCCATGTGGAGCATGGTCGTTATTCGACGTGTCAACGCATATTTTCCCACACAACAGCTACCCCCCAGGTCGAGACTTTTCTTTGAACTGCCTCGAGCTAGGCTGGGATTTGCTCTAGCCTTTCCATTTGCTTCGAGCGTGGGAGCCTAACTTTGAGCCTCCCTTGTAATGATGGCTTTGGCACTTTGAAACCCCTCGAGAAGTGCAAATGCCGCGTCGGTTCGATCGCCATGCTGACATGGTCTTTCATTAAAACGGGTGAATCTGGGCCGTTGGATCGTGTCTCTTCAGCTTCCCGCCCTCTCCCCAACCGTCAGATCGAGTCCTTCCGTTTCAGCCATTGGATGCGTATTTACCTCATCGGACGACTGGGGGTCGAGGGCTTTTCGTTACTATAAGTAATCTCCTCGTGTTTGTTTCAAATCATCTTGAAACTAAGCCGAAACTATGTCAAAATTTCCCCATGAACGTTCTTCATATTCTCCTCTTGCAAACTCGCGAATCTTCGGCGAAGTTCACCTCAGTTCTTGCGTCTTTCTCGCTCTTGATTTTCTGGTAAGCATTCCTTTCCCTTCCCTCCTGTTTCAATGTCCGTGTGTTGGGGGGGGGGGGGGGGGGGGGGGG